GCTGGGCTGGGCTGGGGAGCCCGGGCTGTGCGCCCCGGGCAGGCCTCGCCTCCGACCCGGCTGGGTTGGGGGACCCCGGGCTGTGCGTCCCGGACTGGCCTCGCCCCCGACCCTACCCGGCTGGGCTGAGGGGCCCCGGGCTGTGCGCTCCGGACAGGCCTCGCCTCCGACCTGACCCGACTAGGCTGGGTAGCCCCGGTCAGTGCCTCGTCCGCCCGTCCCGCGAGCCCGGGCTGGCTGCGCTCCCTCTGCCCTCCCTTCCCCAGCTAGGCATCTGGCAACGCTAGGCTGGCGTCGCCAGGGCAGCCTGTTGAGGCGACAGAAAGTTTGCAGGTCTCCGTGGCGCGCATTCCCCGCCCGACCTTGCCTCTGCTTCCTCGATGAGAAACCATTCCACCCCACCACCCCCTTGAGCCGCTTGAGGCTGCCTTGCCCCCCAATCGTGCCTACTAACTGGCTTGCCCAAGTGTGCGCTGGAGGTCTAGGGTGTCACCCCTGGGCTGGCCCTTGCTTTTAACATATGGGGAGATTGAGGCCTAGGGCGCAAAGGTCTAAGATACTCACGTGACCCATAACGCGTGAATGAGGGCCCCAAGTCTCTTGAAAGAGGTGACAGCAGAAGCTCTGCTGTTGGCGGGGCCCATGTGCTTGAGGCCTTTAGCGTAGAAGCAGTGGAGATGTGTCCCAGTGGTCTTGTTTTCACCTGGGAACTGGTGACCACGCTCCTCGGGTACCCTGGACCTGGCTCGGGTGCGCCCTCGCATGGACCCACATTTCCTGAAGCTCAGAGATGAACCTGGGGAGACTTCATTTCCCACACAGCAACCGGAGGGAGCCTAAGACAGTCACTCCTCAGTTTATAAACCCTCAGTGATTGCCTGGGACTTAGGTTCAAATAACCTCCCACGTGGCCTACCGACTGGATTTGCCTCACCCCAACCCCACTGTGAGGTCTATCTCCCTGCCTCTTGCTTCCTATGTATGCTGAAATGACATCCAACAAAGTGTTTCCCCACACCGCCTTAGTTTCCTGTTCAGTCCTTATCCCTATTTGTTTTTTTTTTTTCTATTTCCATGAATCTTTCGTTAGATTGGTTTTTCCAGCCAGTTAGATCATGTCTGTGTCCCCAGGACCAGCACATGATGGTGGATGATGACTACAAGAACGTGTGGAATGGTGTCAGGCTCATGAACATGCTTTATATTCTGGAAACTAGGGGCAAACAGGATCCTCTCACCAGGAAGTTTGTTTAAAATGCAGACACTCAGAGTCCACAATTAAGGTTGCATAGTGGAGTGTACTTGAGGCAGTGGGAGGGGTGCTGGGGGATTGTATACAAAAGAAAGAATTTTACTTTTCAAAGAGAGGAGCGAACTGGGGGTGCTGGTGGGGGAGAGGGCTGGGCAGAAAGAAAAGTGCAACAATGAATGAATGGAAGTCCAAAATCTCTGTAAATGTTCATTAAAATTATTAAAATGAAATCTAAAAAAAAAATGCAAACACGCAGGCCCCATCTCCAACTTATCAAATCAGAATCTGAATTTTTAACAAGATTTTCAGAGGATAGGTCTGTGCACTTGAAGATTTGAGAAGCCCTGTTAGGAAGCACTATGCCAAACAGACTTTGTTGTTGTTGTTGTTGTTGTTGTTATGTGCCAAGTCATTTGCTACTCATAGCGACCCTATGTACACGAGCCCTAAACGCCGTTCAATCCTGTGCCAATCTCTGTGTCTCAAACACATTCATTCCTACGACTCCACTCACAGAATCGATCCATCTCATC